AGGCACAGCAGTCCAGGGACAAGGACTAGAAGGCAGGAGGGGACAGGAAAGCTGGTGATAGGGAACCCAAGGTTGAGTAAGGATAGTGTTGACATGTCGTGGGGTTGTTAACCATTGTTACAGGGCAATATGTGTACTAACTGTTTAATGAGAAACTATTTTGTTCTGTAAACCTTCATCTAAAGTACCAAAAAAAAAAATTATCTATGTGAGATCAGACTGACAACAGCAACTCAAAAGGTTTGATGGAAAGCCTAGGGGACAATGAGTTGACGACAATGATGATGGAATAACTTGGAAAAGGATAGTGAGAATAGCAGCACAACTGGAAGAACGTAATCAATGTCACTGAATTGTACATGTAGAAATTTTTGAAATGGTGTATCTTTGGCTATGTATATTTTCACAAAAAAAAAAGATCCTCCAAAGTCGAGAAGGGAGAGTGTTGACATGTCGTGGGGTTGTTAAGCCAATGTCATAAAACATATGTGTACTGACTGTTTAATGAGACACTATTTGTTCTGTAAACCTTCACCTAAAGTACAATAAAAAAAAATTTAAAAAAAAAGTGGAGATTGTTCAGAGTTGTGATGGTCCTTAGAGATGACGTATTCCAATTTTGCAATTAATGCTACTCCTTCTTTTTTAAAAATATGGAGGAGGAAAACAGTTGGTGGTTCTTCAAAAAGTTACACATAGAATTACCATATGACCTAACAGTTGCAATCCTAGGAATATACCCAAAAGAACTGAAAACGGACACTCAAACAGATACTGGTACATGCATGTTCACAGCAGCACTATTCATAACAGCCAAAATGTGGTAACAGCTCAAATGTTCATCGATGGATGAAGGGTTAAACAAATTGTGGAATATTATTACAACAGAATATTACTGAGCCATAATAAGAATGAAGTACTGATAAATGCTACAATGTGGATGAACCTCAAAAACATTATCCTAAGTGAAAGAAAGCAGACACAAAAGGCCACATATTGCATGATTCCATTTACAGAAAATATCCAGACCAGGCAAACCCACAGAGACAGAATAAAGACTGGTGATCGCCAGGGGCGGGGGAAGTGGAAGACTGGTGCGCGAAATGTTCTGGAACTAAACAGAGGTGGTGATGCACTTTAAAATTGTTAATTTTGTTATATAAATTTTAACTCAATAAAAAAGAAAAAACAGTTTAAAAAATATAAAATTTTTAAAAAATGAGAGGGAAATAGGAAGATCAAATGGGAAATGATTCAATAAGATAAAAATCACTATTTTTCTCATTTACATATTTTTCTTTAAATTTTATTAATTTTTTTAAAATTTGAGAAAATACAGAATTTTAAAGAAAATTCGTAACTTTGTAACTCCACCTCAGTGACTGTAGAGATTTTTTTCTGTGTTCCTGTTCAGTTTTTGGTCATAGTCCACATAGATTTTTATTTAATTATAATCATAGGACAGATAAAATTTTGCATCCTTTTCTCAGTATTACATAAAATATTTTTGTATGTTGTTATAGTATTTATAATTTTAATGGCCTTATCAAGTGACTATATCTTTAGCTTCTATTGCTGGTCATTTTCTAATTTCTTGATAGAATAGATAACATTGTATTGAATATGTTTGTACATACAGTTATTTTCTTCTTTCGAATAATTTTGTTAGGATAAAATTCCTAAGAATAGTATTATGGGATAATGAAAGTATAACCATTTTAGGGGCCTTGATATGAAAATCCCAGCTGCTCAAAAACACATGCTTAGACATAGCTGAGCAATATCTGGCACACATAATGGAAACCCTCCAAGGATACAGGATCCAAAAATTAACAAAGTCATCTAGGTAACTGGATCCTGGCTTTGATACTCAACCCGTTATAATCCTCTTTTTGCAATTCCTGAGCTATCATAAGGATTACATGGGGTTCTCTGCTCATGGGGTTTTTCTATCCTGGTCATAACTTTCCCTAGAGGAAAACCTAAGACGACCTGAAAATAAAACATGGAGCAGTCAAGTCACTTGATCACCCATCCCCACCCCAAATCCTCAATTAAGCCATGACTTACTTTTCTAATGCACTGCGAACAGGAGGCAACCCCCCACAGCTATATTTGTAGACTGTTTCCAGGATTTGACAACCATGAATCTGTAGAAAATATAGCTGTGTCAAACTTGATTCCATTTTAATGGTTCATGCAGCACAAACTCACATGATCTATTCAACCAAGAGGGCACACTCCAGCAAAGATGGGGATAAACTTTCTCATAATATTTATTAACAGTAGTTCTCAAGAATGGACCCCCGACTAGTATCATCATCACCTGGGAACTTGTTAGAAATGCAAATCCTCAGGTCCCACCATGGACCTACTGAATCAGAAACTTGGGACGGTTGGGGGGAGACAACTTTCTGCATTTTTAACAAGCTCTCCAGGTGATTCTGATGCACAGAGAAGTTTGAGAACCACTGCACTAGAGAAACCAGAATCATCCAAAGTTGGACCTCCAAGCAATGGAAGCTAAATGTCAAGTGAGATGTGCAACTAGGCATGGAACCCTGATGTGTCTCCACCGACTCCACTTCTCTAGAAGGTCCTCCCATTTCGGGAGATAGTTTAATATAGTGATTAAGAGCACAGTCTTTTGAGTCAGACAGACCTGGGTTTAGAGACCAGCTCTACCATTTACTACCATGTGTCTACATCTGAGCACATTCCTTAACCTATTTGACTGAATGTGATAATGTATGTAAAGCACTTGGCACAGTGCCTAGGACAAAGCAGGGCTTCTGAACTGGTTTGCTCCCTTGGAACCCCTACTGAGACTTTACATTTCTAACAAGTTCCCAGGAAGTTATACATAAGAATCACCTGGGGATCTTGTTAAAATGTAGATTCTGATTCAGTATATCTGGGGTGGAAGTGCAAAGTCTCAGCAGGGGTCTGAACTAGAATGAACTGGTTGGAAGCCCTGGTACAAAGTAAATGCTTAACAAGGCTGGCTATTCATCAAGGTGAATGCTCCTAATAAGCTAAGAAAGCACAAATATAAAAACTTAAACACATGGAGACTTGAACCAAACATGTTTAATCCATTGTCCATTACTAAGAATGGGGTTTTATGGGCCAATTCCGTAAGACACTAGATTCTTCTGATGTGAAATCTCAAAGCATTCCTTAGTTACTAACCCTGCCCAGAAAAGACACTGTCCTGCCATTGGGGACCTAACTTTTCAATGCTATAATGAAAACATGTGACAAGGACAGGCATATTTAACTAAGAAAATGGCATCTGGGTTTCACCCAATTATCTCATAATTCTTAGAAAACTTTCCAGCACCCTCACCATGAACCCATTATCTTCTTTCTTTCTAAGGACTGATTTTCTGTGTCTCCTCAAGATCCACACTCAACAGTTCTAAACCCTTAGAACAAATTACTCTCACCTCCCGGCAGGCACAGCAGTTTCTCCTAACCGCAGCAGCGCTCTGGGGTACATCTGTTAACATCCCCCTCGCCCTCAGTGGACCAGGTGGTGCTTACGGACAGGGTTATATCTTACTTATTTTGGCATCCCTGATACTGAGCACGATATATAGCATATACTGCTGAATGATGAATAAACAAACACTAAAACTAGGGTCTTCCGGAAAGAATGTAAGGTAAAATTAATTACTAACATCTTCTTGGCGCTTATCAGAGCAAAAGGAAAAAGGGAAGTTCTCACCTTTTGACTTTTGATTTGCTCCACTACAACCATCACAGAGGGAAAGAGGAGCTGGAACTGCAAAGGAGAGAATAATTAGGAGAGCGTGCAATTATGTGCAAGGGAAAAAAGATTAACTCAGGAAATGCTTTTGTTTCTAAATAGTCCCATTTACGATAAAGTTGGCAATGCCACAGAAGAGCCAAGAAAAGGACCCAGGGTCCTAAGGCAATTCTGACTACCACAGGGGCTGGTTACAGACAAGAAGAGGATGGCAGACAGAGGCAGCTCTATTTCTGAGGCTGGCAGAATTGTTAATACTGATGTCAACAGAGACAGCGGTGACATCAGACATCAAGTTTTAACTAAACCTGGGTCTCTTCAAACAGTTCTGACGTGTTAAAGCACACAAAATGCACAAAATAAAATGTCAGGCTCTGAATCCAGAAAGAAAAAGGTTTTCAAAAATAATGTCAGAAGTTAGATGACTCTAACCATATCAACAGACTTCAAGGCATTCTGTTATCTGGGTAGCATACCTGATCTAAGGAGTAATTGACATGTGCTATGGAGAGATGGGGATCAGCCAGAAACTGCAAGAAAAAACACCATGGTTAGGGCACCTACAAAATATCCTAAATCAGTCTAATCTATGAAAACCAGAAGAGAATCTGAGAATGGGCTTAGTGTTAATTTTAGGCTTCAGAGAATTGAGAATGTATGGAAGCTTATTCATTCTGATTTTCAGGTGGTAACAAACAAAAGCCGCGAACTCCCACACGTGAAATCACTCAGGAACCTCTGCCAGATCTGTAAGCCACTCTGATCATGGCCTGGGCAATCACAGAGAAAACTGTGCCCTCCAGCCGTGCGGGAAATAGCTCACTCTTAACTACCTGGCCTGGAGGAAAGAAGTTATCAAAGGGTGTTTCAGGTTCCAGCACCTTCCCTAGTGCTCTGTCCCTGAGGTGCTGTTTTCTAATCTCCTCTTTCTCACCTCTTGCTCCAAATCAAGCAGTGCTTGGCGATAAGGCTGCAAAACTGAATCCAGCCCCGTGCAGAAGGCCCTCAGGTAGATTCCATGTAACCCACCTTGGCCCTGCTGTGATGGATGGTGATCCTGAAATCAAACAGAGAGAAGTCAGCTTCTTGGCTCAGGCCCCGCAACATGGGAAGGACATTATCCTTTATCAGTGGTACTGTTGTAACTTGAACAACTCCATACAGTGCGGTGCTTCAGGGAGAAGAAAACTGACTGAAGATGAAGATTTTGAGCTCTGACCTTTTAAAATATGGTAATATTTTAATTTTCTAAGCAGGCCCAGATGTTACAAACAACCAGGTAGTACTCTATACTGTTAGTGGAGAGACTTTTCTACAAGTCAGTTTTGACCACATCACTCCCAGCTTAAACCCTTTGGTAGCTTCCCACTGTCCCAGAATAATATTCAAACTCCTGTACATGGCACGCAATGACTTCTGGATTCTGGTCCTTACCTATCTCTCCAAAATTATCTTTCACTGCTTCCAACTTCACATCCTCATTTCCAAACCAGCCACAGTTCACCAAGCGTGCTTTGCTTCTACCTTGCACTCCTGTATTTTTGGATATGTGTTCTGCTTCTTACTGCCCACTTTAGCTTCATGGCAAGCATGGCATGGAAAACATCTGTTCTTTTTGAGGACCTTAAGCATCCTCTCTGCCAAAGCTCTTCCTAATCCTCCCTAGGGAATTAGTTGCTCCTCATCTCTGCTTAGTATTTGAATTGTACTTCTGTTTATATGTCCCCTTCCCTATACCAAGAGCTCCATGGACCACACTTTACTCATCTTTGTATCTCAGCTTACCACTCAGTTCTTTGGCCAGAGGGTGTTCAGTAATGCTTAGTGAATAAGCAAATGACCTCAATACTCATGTCCTTTCCTCCGTCTAGCGTTGCAACTCATCAAGAACGTGAATCTGACAGCCAACATGGGGAGCTGTGAGACTCTCATAAAGAGGTTATTTACAAATATGGCTTGTCTTTCAGGAAACCTGCCATTTTTTATAGGAGCTTCTTAATTTTATTTGGGGAATTGTGGTTAACAGTTGACTAGAGGCTACGCGGACTAGCCTCTCTGCTTATGTACTGATTGGGTGACCAGGCTGCGGTGGTGGTGGTACACTAGCAGAATTCAGCGACAAATGCCGCAGGGAGCTAGGGCTCAGGGGTTACAAGGCATAGTGTGGCCGGACGATGCTGTAAAGGATACTGGTAGTTCCTGAAGATAAATGCTCACAGCTATAATAAGAGCAGCGTGGACACACGGTAGAACACAGACTGGACTGGCTTACAACCAACCCAGTTTGTTTTTATCTTGAGTCATACCAGAGAACTGAATGTCATTTATCCCAAATTGAAAGAGAAAATTAATATGTTTTTGACTTTCCCAAAAGAAGAGGTACTACTGATATCTGTAGAATTTGGGAAAGTAGGAATTCAACATATTATATAAAATTCACATACACAAATATAGGAAAAGCTTTTCTTTTAAGTGTTCTAACAAAAAACAATGACTCTTTCATCTATATTAAGATATATACTGGTGCCAACTTTGATAATCAAGCATGCCATCATTAATATAATTCCACAGCAAACGGCATTGATTAAACTCATATTTAGCTTAAGTATTTTCTCTGCAATAAAATCAGCTGGAGAGGAGCAGAATCCCAGTATCAGAATGAAAACATAAGGCAGTATTCTCCAACTCCAATGACCTGAAAACCAGTTTATATAACAGGGGCCAGAGGGCACTAACTGTGCTGTCTGAAAAAGCATCCTTCTTCCTCATTTTTAGAAGTCCTCCTTTTCTCTCCTCACCCAGAATCATCCTCTCAACTATGAAATAGTCTTCACAACTGAATCACAGTCACACAATGTGACAGCCTTTTAGCCTTTTACTTGCCACTGGCAGAATTACAGACTTAAAAATAAAAGAGACCTTAAAATTTCTCTTTAAAAATTTGAGTGCTTACTATGTATCAGGCACTGTGTTTGGCACATGAATTACCTCGTTTAATCTTCACAGCCCTGTGAGATAGGTACTGTATATTATCCCCAATTACAGATACGAAAGCTGAGCCTCAGAGACACTGGGTAACCTGCCTAGTGGTATATGGCCATAAGTGACGGAGCAGGCACAAACCCTTGATCTCTACACTATCCTAACCCCAATTAATTCATATCACTAGAGAACAGTTATTAAATGCTTCCTATGTGCTAAGCACCCTCCTGAGTTTAACTCTTTTATTTACAAATGAGAAAAATGAAACCCAAAGATTTTAGTTGCTTGTCTGAGGGTGACACAGGTAGTCAGAAGCAGAGTGGCAAAGGACTTTGAAAGAATAATGCTTTCTGTTTTCACCCCTGGAACTGGAACTCCACTCCAGCTCAAACTGATTTGATTCAGGTCTCCCAAGCCAATCACGAGCAAAGGACAACATGTTTGGTGAATAGAGGGTCAGCGAATAAAAGGAAAACCCTCAGTGAGATGGAGTGACACAAGAGCTGCAACAGTGGGCTCAAGCACAGCAGTGACTGTGGATAGTGGAGGACTGGGCAGTGTTTCATTCTGTTGTAAATAAAGTCACTGTGAGTTGGAGCCGACGTGACAGCATCTAGCAACAACAACAATACTCAAGCCAAGCATATTTTCTCTTATTCCAATTTGCTAAAATTGGTTGTCACGTATATTGCATCCTTCTTGGAGGTACAGTCACCTGGCCTTCACTTGAATACTTCCAGTGATGAGACATTCAGAACTTCTCAAGACTTTCTATTTTCTATGAACTACCAATGGGTTCACTGAAAGCTTAGTGTACACGTGACACCACAGGACCACCTGGACCCTGAGAGGATCTGAAGAACACGGAGAGGACACGTGCTGTCCTGAGAACAGGGACCTACCTGCTGCTGCACATGGCCTGTGTACTGTTCAATAAACTCAGCGAAGCGAATGTAGTCGGTGCCCAGCCGGCAGAGTCGGTTCAGGACACTGGTTTCACTGGGATGGAGAAATGGGAAGTCCTGTGACACCTGCAGGAAGAGCAGGAGAGTTAACACTGATTCCTGCTATTTGCTGCTCTCTGTTCTTTGCAGAGCTTCAAATGCTTCATACTGTTCATTTTTTCCTTCTCAAGGTGCCCCTTTTAAAGCTAGTAAGTTCTGGGTAACAAAGGTATTCCTAAACTACTGCAAAGGTGCTCTTCCCCATCCCCTACCTAATTAGTTCATTTAAATAGGTTATGCATGGTAAAAAATTCAAGCAATATAAAACTGTGTACATGAAAAATAAGTGTCCCAGGGGAGGAGCCAACATGGTGCTATAGACAGAAGCACAAGCAAAGACCTGAAAAACTAAGTAAAACAGAGACAAATGTCAATCCTGGAACCCTAAGCATTAAATGAAGAGATAAAGAACATGCATCAAATGGAATAAGAAAACTGACAGAGAACAGAGAGC